AGGTCAATAAAACTTCCACTCACATACTTTGAACATGTTGTCAGGAGGGGCAAATCTTTGGCATAAGAAGACGTTATACTGTAAAAGCTGGAGTCAGAGAAAGAGAGGAAGACCTCCAACATGGTGGACTGGTGCAGTGATCAAAGCAGTGGGCTCAGGCCTGTGTTGAAATCTTTAAAGTGGTGTAAGAAACAAAAGGTTCACATCTGCAGTTTATAGCGTCACTGTGGCTAGATCTGTTCTTCATAAGGTCATTATGGGGCATACTCAACTCAGTGACCCCTAACAACAACAGCATAACTCATTGGCCTCTAACAACAACAGCATGACTCAGTGGTTCCTAATAACAACAACAGTGTGACTCAATGACCCATAATAACAGTGTGACTCAGTGACACCTAACAACAACAAGGTGACTCAATGACACCTAACAACAGTGTGACTCAGTGATCCCTAACAACAACAAGGTGACTCAATGGCCCCTAAAAACGACAACAACAACAACAACGTGACTCAAAGCCCCCTAACAATAACAACAATAGCAACAGTGAGACTCAATGATCCCTAACAACAACAGTGTGACTCAAAGCCCCCCAAAACAACAACAACGTGACTCAATGGCCTGTAATAACAACAGTGTGACTCAGTGGCCTCTAACAACAGCGTGACTAAATTACCCCTAACAACAACAGTGTGACTCAAAGCCTCCTGACAACAACAGCATGACTCCATGATACCTAAACCTAACAACAACAATGTGACTCAATGACACCTAACAACAACAACATGACTCTGTGACCCCTAACAACAATGTGACTCAGTGCCCCATAACAATAGCAATGGGATTAAATGACCTCTAACAACAACAATGTGAGTCAATGACCCCTAACAACAACACGACTCAGTGACCCCTAACAACACCTCCATTCCTTCAACACCCTATGTCCATCAAGGAATTCCAACGATGTCCAGAATCTGACCCCCTTCACATCTCCACATCTCTGAATGTGGTCCAAGTAACCCAAAATCAGATAGTTGTGTTGTTGCAATAGCTTTCTGCTTTCACATGTATGTCTCCACTCTTTGAAAGGCAACAGATGTGATACTGCTAACACGGAAGTCATCCCATTTCACTGTTCTTTTACTCCACACTGTGGCTCTTCATTTCATCAGAGTAGAAGCCAACATCTCTTATTATGCCCCCAGTACCCTACATCTCTGAGCTCATCCCAGCTCTGGCTCCGTTGTCCACTCTGCTATTCACTGAAACATCAGGCTGCTCCCAAGTTAGAACCTGGGCCCTGGATGCTGCTTCTCAAATATTCTCCCCCTACACATCTTCCTTGTTCCGTCCTTCATGTCCTTGAAGTCCGTGGTCGAGCATTCTGCTCTGGAGGGCTTTCCTGGACTTCATGGTGTGTACCACAGCCCTCTTCAAACTGTGACATACTGCGTTCATATTGTGACATTCGGTAAATCTTCAACCTTGCCCTATTTTTAAAATATCTTTCACACAATGGAATACTATGCAGCACACAGGTGCAATGATTTTGTAAATTATGACCTAACTTTGGAGGGTCTGGAGAGCATTATGCTGAATGAACTAACTCAGTCCCACAAGAATAAATATTGTATAAAACCATTATTGTAGAATGAGTATGAGGATCCGAGAGGGGTGGGAGAGTCTGGAAGTAGAGGGATGAGGATGTGCAGGGGGAGGGGGGATTTATCATGCGATTGTACAATTCGATGGTGACAGGGTGAGGGAAATGGAAATAATTTGTTCTTAAAAACAATATATTCAAATTTTGTAAATAAACTAGTAGAGCTTTTTTTAATGTAGGCGGAAAAAATGTCTTTTGGCATACCTTGTGGTTTATGAAGTTACCTTTTGTCTCCAGACTTGCCCTCGAAAATAAGCTCTATGAGACTTGTTATTAATGTGCCATCGAATCGCCTGTGAGTCATAGCAACCCTTTTTACAGCAACTCTGAGGCTTGCCCTGTCCTGAGCCAGTCTCCTTGACTCCGACACACCTACCCCTATTGCCCCAGTTACTATATCAATCTATTCCTCTCCTGCGCTGTCCCTCTGTACTTCTGAGCGTGATGTCCTTCTCCAAGGACTGGGAATCCCAGACACTTGATTGTGCTTATGTGAAACCTATACTTGGATCAGGAAACAGTCCTCAGAACAAAGTGGAGAAATACTCCATAGTTAAAAATCAGGAAAGGTGTGCGTCAGGGATGCATCTTGTTTCTATACCTTTTCAATCAATATGCAGAACAGATCATTCAGAAAGCAGAGGTTTATGAGGAGGGATGTGGAATCAGGATTGGAGAAGACGCATCAAAAACCTACATTATGCAAATGACACAACCAGTGAGACTCGTGAATTGTAATTTATTCAACATTCTATCTCCAAAGCTAAGATGCTGGTACATGGCAAGTGTTCAAGAAATATTTGTTTAGTTGGTTAATGAACTAATCAGTTGATTATAAACCTGGGCCATGACACTAACCTGAGCGGAAGGTAAAATGCAGTTGACGGCTGAAACAGAATGCAAAATGACGTCGGTTTATTAGATGCATATTGTTTCAACTCAGCAGTACCTCACAGCAGGTGAATAGGTAGGATTTAATGCATGTCAAGAGATACATGGAAAGGATTGTTATCAAAGCCAAAGGCCAAAGCCAACTCGTCAGACAAGAGATGAAGGGCGTACCATGGGAACACTTCAATGTTGGCTTTGACCATGAGTTCAGAATCACAGAACAGGGGCACATTTTGATCCAAATGGCCTGTTAGTGAAAGGGATTAGTACACAGATCAGGGGACTTATCAGTCTTACTCATCTTTGTTGCACAGAAAAGCAGAGAGAGAATTGGGCTCACCTCTGGGTCTCACATCTCACAGTGTAGCCGGTGTGGGCTTTGTTTGGAAATGATCCACTCATGGTAGTAGCATGTCCTGGGAGAAATGCTTATGCAGCTGGCCAGTCTTTTCCATGGAAATCTCTGGGAAGCCTTAACTAGTGTCTTTCCATGCAAGAGGAGGACCTTTTGTACAACGTCAAATGGCAAAACTGTGACCAGTAGATGAAGACGCATTTCAGATAAGAAATGTGCGCAGAATGGGAAGCACTTCGTGTGAATGGAGCAGCAATGCCCAGACACAGGGAGTGTCTATCATCAGAGGAACTAGTGCCTTGACAGGGAATTTGTAAGGAGGATTCAAGACCAGGTTCATTACGGTGCTCCCAGGGGACTGTGATCTAGTTCAAGGAGATGAGCCCACCACCCCTGCACTCTACGAAGACTCTTAGCTGGGCTTGGTTGAATAAAAGAATTAGTGAGACAGACTAGAGTCTACTCTGAGCCTTGAGAAAAAGCAAAGGAAGAAAAAGGTGAAATGGGTAGGAAGAGACTTCGATTGCTGTGCTGTCCAAGAAAGGGCAAATACTAAGGGCAGTGGGGCTTGTTCAAGTCAAAGTTGCCCATCAGAAGAGTCCCACCCGTTGAAGATATGGATCTGAGAGCAGCCTGTGGAAAGTGAGGTGTCTGAACAAGAGAGTAGACAGAGCTGCGTAACTTGGCCCGTCAATCGATTGCTCGTCCTGGATCCCAGAGCCGTGTCTGCGTAGTCAACACAAGCTCTCAAATGAGAGCTAGGCACAGTGTGCCTTCAAGCCCCGGTGGACACCGGTTCTAGGTGCTGATAGTCGTACTGCTCTCAATGGGCTCTGGCTGTTGGCCGCTCTGGGCCGTGAGCCATTTGAGAACAAGTGTTCAGCATCACTGCCCTCTGGCACAGTAGTCACAGCACAGAAGATGCTTTGAAGAGCTCAGAGTTGTGGAGAACGCAGGAGCCAGGTTCCCTGCTACCCAGGAACAGTGCTCTGTACCTTCATGTCAAGGTCTCAGAGGAGGATCTGTTAACTTACATCAAGGAGAGTAAATGGCACTTTTCCAAGGTCCCCAGAGAAAGCCCCTCGCAAAGCGGACTTTGAGTGAGGAAACGACCTTCGTCATTGCAGAAGCACCAGGACTAAACAGAGCAGCCCCTGGAGCAGAGCGCTGGCTGAAGGCTCATCCATTACCCACCTCTTCTCCTAGCCAGACAACCCTCATTTATTATTTCCAGATGGTTTTCATTTTACTTACACTGTGTGATAAATGTTGACTCGGCTTGAGAAATAAACAATATCATTTCCAAGCAGAGCTTTCTTTCAGAATCGTTTTGCACAGTTTTGGGAACCATTACCACGTTTCCACGTGTTTGGTGTCTCTATCGTGCATTCATTTGTGTTTGCGGGCTCCTCCTTGCAAATGGCCTTGTTTGGAAATCTCTGGTGGTCCCTCTGTTGTTAGTCCCCTTTCACGTCTTCCTGAGAGATGCTCCCTTGATCTCTTTGGGACAATACCATTTTGCATTCAGTATAAGTGATTTTGGCTAGACCGTCCCTTTGTATATTACACAGTACTTCTGCACTGACCGTTTCTAACGTCCTTTGCCCTCATAAGTTCTCATCTCTACAGAGCCCAGCATGTGACTGCACAGCCTGAGATTCTTTCAATACCTGTTTTTTTCCTCTCAACGACATCCCATTGCTCTGCTTTCCCTACTGTCCAAAACCTAGTGCCCTTGTCAGGGTTGACGCTGCCTCCCTGATTGCTTCTGATTTCCCCAACCTCCATTGTTTCCTTTGAGTGTCCCAGCCAACTCTTGTTTCCTGCCCCTGAAAATGCTCGTCCCTGTCCCTGCCTGCCCATGCATTCTGTTCCTCTGAATTGTCACCTTGTCTCGCCTCTGTTATTCAGGCTCTATTCATTCTACAAGAACCACAAGACTTCCCGCAGATCAGTGTCTGCAGAGAAAGGAAGAGTAGGATTCAAGCAAAATGTCATTACTCTTTCCCCCTATGTCTGAAAGATGATGACGGCCTTTCTCGTGCAATCAGAAGTCCGTTGACCCACCTTGTTTCTTTCTCTCTCTACAGCCCCCTCCACTGTTCCCATCATGCACCAGGTCAGCGCCACCATGAGGAGCATCACCTTGTCCTGGCCCCAGCCGGAGCAGCCCAATGGCATCATCCTGGACTATGAGATTCGGTACTACGAGAAGGTGAGCCAGCTCCCACTGCAGGCTTGTGAGACTCAGAGAAGCTACTGTTCTGTCGATGCGGGACAGTGGAGGCTGAAAGGAGGCAGGGTGGAGGGAATGGTGAGGGAGGGAGATACAGGGATGGAGGTCAGAGGTTCCCTGTATAAATGTATAAACCTCAGCACAGACACTTTATCTATCTATCTAGCTATCATCTATCTATCTATCTATCTCTATCTATCATCTATCATCTATCTATCTATTATCTATCTATCTAACATATTTTAATGAAAGTTTATAAAGAACTTGGATTTCTATTCATTCATTGTTGCACATTTTCCTCCCTGTCACACTCTCCCTCTCCCTCTCCCTCTCCCCCACCCCTCGCCCCAAATTTGCTTTTTTCTTTGGAAAACAGTTCTTTCATTGCACAGACACTTCTTACATTAACTCAGGAAAGAACCTTCCAGCTTTCTGTCTGGACAGCTCACTGTGTTTCCATGAGAAAAAAAAACCACCTTGTTGTCTCCATCACATATTTGCTGTACTATTACAGGTACGTCAGAATGGCCACCTGGTCGCTCAGTCTTTAGAAGAGTCCATGGCTTTGTAGACAGGCAACTAGAAAAGGTTTTGATTGTGTACCTCTAGTATAAGGTTGCTTATTTCTAAATTATATGCACATGCTACTGCATTAATATATTTATGGAGGTTATGGAAATTTGAAAGGAGGAGATGAAAATTAATAGAAACGGAAATTTCTATATTATCTTCCTTGATTGCTCTTTTAGCAGCTGCTTCTGGGGGCTCAGGGCATGACAAGGAGACCCTCTGGATTTGATCCTAGACTCTGCAGAGGAAGCCGGGCCTCACTCCCACCATAGGGAGCTGGAGTGTTTGCAAAAATCTCAGGAAAATATAGTAATCTTTATATCTACCCAACACGTCCTTTGTCAAAACACAAAATTCATCCATTTCCTTTTTTCCCAGCAAATATTTATTGAATTCACAGTTTGGGTCAGGCATCCCCTTCTAGGTATGGGGAGCTGGTGGCCTAGTGGTAAGGAACTGCTGTGCTGACTCAAAGGTGTGGGGTTTGAGTCCACCAGCTGCTGCTTGGAAGAAAGGTTAGTAAGGATAATGATTTGATCCAGGTGGAAGCAGAGGCCCTCTGAAAATGAGTACATTTCCACATCTTTAAGCTAATGGGATTCCCAAGAGGTGGGATTTGTGAGGTTTCAGAGGGTATGAACTGAGTTTATCTACGGTGTATCACTGTTGATTGAGAAAGGATTAGCTGTGGGTAGAACACGTGTGGAGGAAGGGCAGGAGGTGAAGGTCAGTTCTAGGTATGAAATAACCAGGTGGAGATACAGCTGGGCAGTTAAATACATACTAGGATGCAGAGAGGACTGGAAGGTTGTCAGCAGTGCCAGAGAGAAGCCTGGATTGAATGTGCTCATTTGACTGCTGTCACCGTACTTACGTACTTACGCAAGGGGAAGCCATGAGCCTGCATAAAACAGACCATTGGTGGGTGAGCGGAGAGAAAAAGAGGACCAAGCATAGAGGTAGAATGAAACCTGACACCCCAGAAGCAGGAGTCCCAGGGTCTAGTGCCTTTGTTAACTAACCAGCCTTCAAGTCCTGGTCAAATTCTGAACCCCTCTGGGTGGCCATTTTCACATGTGTAAAATTATAGCAACTTGCACCCCTCAAAGCAGAAGGCAAGGTGGAGTCTAGGTCTAGTCTGTGAAGAGGTATGCCCTTCAGCCATTGCATGTGAAGTTGGAAGCCAAGTGTCTAATTAGAGAATGTAGGGATTTTTTAGACAGTTCATTGCATTTGGGTAAATGATTGTGATTTGCGAAAACTAATTTCTGTCGAGTTGATTAATATCCATTTGACTTGATCTTCAAGACCCTGGTGGCACAACAGTTAAACCCACATATGCAAACCGAAAGGTTAGCAGTTCAAAACCATCGATTCTCATGGACACACAAAAGGTGGCATTCTGATCCTATAAAGAGTACAACCCTCGGTGGGCAATTCTACGCTGCCACATAAAGTCAATTTGAGTGGGAACAGATTCCCCAGCACCTAACACGTGTTAGATGTTTTTGGTCGTTTAATAAAATGTTGACTTTCCCAAGTGTTTTTAATAAAGTCCCATAGCTGTTCAGACAAGTTGACCATGGGACTTATTATGTGACCAGAGTTGACCAACAGTTCAGTGAAGTGTCATGTGTGGCTAGTCTTTGATGTACTGTCAGGACCCAGCAACGCTCTGTCCAGCTTCCTTGTCCACGCACGATGGACGTTTAGGCCTCTGGAAAAGATAATTCAACTTCGAAAAACAATAATGCTTTTTCACTAGTGTGTATCTGTCTAGTGAAGTGGACTTGATAACCATTTATCTCCCTTTTCCAGTCATAACTCTGAGAAGCAAATGTTAGTCTTATTGACATGACTGAAACAACTTAAGTTGTTTAAAAAAAAACCTCCTATCAAACCCAAAGCTATCCCATAGTCACAGAGCTAAGAGATGAAGCCACCATGGGCTGGATTCTTTGTGCCATTTCCAGTGTCTCTACTGAAAAGGTTTATAGGGTCGCTATGAGCCGCAAACGACTCAACTGCACATAACAACAACAACTACTGAGAAGATGCCTCAGATACCATTTGTTCTTCCTCTTCAGTTGTTATGCCAAGGGGCAGTCCCTTCTCTGAGCTGTTGAGATGAGATGAGTGGTTTCAAGACAATATAAGGACCAAAGCCGGCTGTGTCTTGACCTCTTACTCCCCAGACCACCTGAAAGCAGCTCCATTGTCTTTCACTTTACTTTAAAATCTCTTCCCTTGGAAAACTGTGATTAACCTCCATTTCTGAGGCTGTGAAAGAAGCTAAAGCTCCCATTTCAAGTCCTTTCCTTACTTCACAGTAATTTTTACTAATTATTAACAAACACACATGCACGGCAGCTCAATGCCTGAGGCGGCTTCCACACCTCAATGAAGCATATTATTGTTCCTCCGCCAGAGGATAGAATACTTTCCTTGGGAACAGAAAAGCCTTTGCTGAAGAATTGGTTACAATTCCGTGTGTTACTTGAGAATGTGCCCTCGCTTATAAAGTCCTTGGCTCTAAAATCCATTACACTGCTTGACTGTTGTGAATATCAATACGAAAATAAGACATCACCCTGTGAAGGTGTTTTGATAGAGAAACCAAGATAATAATAAGTGTTCCAATTGTGTACCAGATCATACAGGAATATTTTTTTCTATCCTGTAAGGGCAAATACGTTTTGTCAGGTGTTCCCAAAGATGATGAAGCCAAGTCGCAGAAAGTTTCAATTCTTTATATGGACATGGGTTACCAGTAAGGCATCAAAAAAGTGAAGACTGTAGGCATTCATTCTATTATGTTTTAAAGACAACACCTTCAGAGCTCAGTGTTGAACTAGATGCAATCATGTTTGATTCTGAGGATTTGAAAGTTAATGTGGCCTTTGAAATAGGAGACTGAATCTGAATTTTAAATCTAACTGCTTAAGAATCCAGTAGTCTATCATCTTATTAACCCAGGAAATCAAAAAACATATTGCAATGGGAAAGTCTGCTGTTAGGGACCTCTCTAAAGTACTCAAGAGCAATGGTGTCTCTCTGGAGACTAAGGTGCGCCTGATACAGGCCATGGTCTTTGCAATCACTTGTTATGCATCAGAGAGTTGGACAATGACTAGGGAGGATAGAAGGAGAATTGATGCCTTTGAGCTGTGGCACAGGATAGATCAGGGTTTAGGGCTCTTGTACATAGGGTTGCTATGAGTCGCAAATGACTCAATGACACATAACAACAACAACAACACTCTACATGTCATAGAACCCTGGTATTTGGAAGATACAAACAAAAATAGAACTCAACCCAATAGTAATCTTAAAATTAGACAAAAAAATTAAAATCCAACATCTCTCTATCTTGGATGATTTCTCCTCCAGAAAGATCCGGACCCCTTCATCTAAGCCAGCGTTGGCAAACATCCTTAGCAACAATTCAGATAATAAATATATTGTTGTTATCGTTATGTGCCATCAAGTCATCTGTGACTCACAGCAACCCTATGTACAACAGCCCTGAGACTGCCCTATCTCAGAAACTCCTGACACACCTACCCCCATGGCCCCAGTTAATGTATCAATCCATCTCATCTAGGATCTTCCTCTCCTGTGCTGTCCCTCCAACCATCCAAGCGTGATGTCCTTCTCTAAAGACTGATCCCTCCTGGCCACATCCTCAAAGTATGTGTGATGGAGCTTCAAAATCCTTGCCTCCAAGGAGAAACTCGGTTTCACCCTCTCCAAGACAGACCTGTTTGTTTTCTTGGTGTCCATGGTATGTTCAGGACTCTTCTCTGACACCACAAGTCGAATCATGCATTCCCTGTAATGGCTAGTTAGCCCCGTTATCATACTATGAGAGCAGCTGTACATAATATCTAAATGGATCGACAAGGCTATGTGTCAATAAAACTTTATTTATAAAAAAATACCTCCGTCTAACGTACATTGGACATGTAAGAAGGGACTGGTCCTTGGAGAGGAACATCGTGCTTGGGAGGGTGGAGGGACGGCACAGAAGGGGAAGACCCTCTATGAGGTGGATTGATTCAGTGACTGGGGTAATCGGGGTGGGTGTATCGGAGACAGTGCGATTGGCACAGGACAGAGCAGAGTTTAGGGCTGTTGTACATAGGGTCGCTATGAGTCTCAGGTGACTCGATAGCACATAACAACAACAACAACAACGAGTGATTAGTTTACTAACCACCACAGAAACCATACAGGGGTCTTTTCTTGCCCAACCTCAGCCTCTCCATTTGTGCAAGGGCCACCTTCCAGTGTCAGCTGTGGGAATGGCATGAATTAGGCCTTCGTCTCCTCCAACGGCTCGTTAATAGAGAGCTCAGATCCCATCAAGCTGATGACACTCCCTGAGCCTCTGCCCTGCTCATCTCCTT